ATATATATATATATATATATATACAACAATTTTCTCTACTTAAACGATCCTTTATTATCCAGCGGTTACAATGTATAACTACATTACTTTTAACTGCATTTAATCATTATTACGATTTCTATATATCCAAATTCTCCACTTAATATTACGTTACTTTTGAACATAAAGTGGTTTGACCTGGTTATCGCAACTTGGTCTTGTTGTCAGGGCGATTTAGTAGAACGCACCTAGTCCGAAGTTTGTCATGATTCCCAGCATCAGACAGTGGACTTGGTACATTCTCAAACGTTTCGCCGGCATCATAGTCAGGATCATCGGTGAGTTTTGACATTCGCCGCACCAAGCTACGAATTCGTCAAAGAGACAAGTGAAGCCAATTTTTCGACAAACGCCCTGCCGAAAACGGTTACACTATCACTCCTCTTTCTGTCCTGGCCTATCTATATACTCTTCAATTGTCTCTTTGACGAGTTCGTAGCTTGGTGCGGCAAATGGCAAAACTCACTGATGATGCCAAATACGATGCCGGCGATGTACCAAGTCCACTGATGCTGGGAATCATGATAACTACTATGGCAGACGACTTCGAGCTAGGTGCGTTCTACATAGTCTCCCTGAACACAAGACCAAGTTGCGACAACGAGGTCAACCCACTTCTATAAATCGAAATGAGACTGACCATACCAGAGACCACAACATCTTGGTCTTCATATCTTTAATTTGAATATAAAATTTATTTTAGGCTCGTCCTTGGAGAATCGGCTCCTCCTCAAATTCACCTCGCAAACGAGGGGGCGGTGGAAGCGGTGCATTTAGTCTTCGCCGCGGTGCCTGTTTTTCGTCGACAGGCCAAACGCAATCATCTCTGACAGGCTCATTGGCTGCACCAACTAGGCCTAGCCTGGCTCTACCACAACCGACTCATCATCACGCTCCGCTACCAGCCGCTCTTGCCTCCACTCTGACGACGTCGGCCTCTTCAAACAGCAGCCTCCCAGGAAATGTCGATCTTAGCTCAGTAGGCTCGATCGTTTCATTACCGCCTCCTGCCTCTACGACAGCAACCACAGCAGCGGCAGCTGCAGCTGCTGCGGCGGCTGCAGCGACTCTCCCTTCTAGTTCCTCCACCCGCCGTCTTAGCCGTACTAGAGGCCGACCACGAGGCAGGCCATCAGGACCTTCCGCTACACCCATTATTTCTGACCATTCACTCGCTGCATCACCCCCTGCCGATGCTTCTGCTATTGGCAGTTCTCAGCGTGGCAAAACCAGGCGCGGTAGACCCCGTGGTTCATTCTCTGCCACTGCAGTTTCGCGAAACCCTTGCAATTCCCCTGCAGGGTCTGCGCCTGAGGCGGGGCCTATTCGCCTTATAATTCGTCTCGGACCAGCTGGGAAGCGGACTACTACTACAATTTCTGGGTCTGTAGTTGATTCTTCAATTGAAAGTGGAAGATCGGTCCCTAATAGCTTGTCGGGAAAAGTCGAAGTTTCAAAATCGTCCGTCATCGCTGCATCCAAAGCCTCTTTACCGGCCACACAAGTCCAGAAGTCTGAGGATCCCTTGGCTCCTTCAAACGACCGGACTGTCGGCAGAGATTTGGTTGCCAAGTCCTGCAATAAAGTTGACGTTGAGTTGGCGGAAGAAGTAGGCCAAATCGAGGATGGGCAAGGGGTTGATGATGAAAGCGTTGTCGAAAAAGCACCGAATGAGTCTGGCGAACATAAGTCTGATGATCATTCTTGCGTTTTTATGGTTGCTGGTGAAGCCGAAACTTTTATTGATCCCAATCAGGCTCGAGTGCGTCGTGTAAAGAATAAAGCACCAGCTTGCGATTCTACTGACTGTTTAGCATATACTCCAGCTGACGGGGGAGACGGAGGCTTTGGCCGGGGCAATGGCTCTGGCTCTGGACTAGGCGGCGATGGCCTAATTGGCGGGGGCGGTGGAGGTGTGAATGCTCTGGGTGAGCAGCATTCAGACGGTCCTGTCGGTGGCGATTGTGTTAACAGTAGTGGTGGTGGCTGTCTAAGCTGTGGTACTTCTGCCGATCGTCGGATTGGTGCCCTGGCAAACTCCATCTTCACTCGATCACTTTCTTCTGGCGCCGATCTACTTGGAGTCAGTTGCCTCGAATCGCCTGTTTCTCGTTTATCACATCTCACACAGTCATCCTATTGCCCTACGAGCCAGACATTTTGCCCCTGTATGAGCATGAACAGACCTTTACTTGTCCGCAAACAGTCCTTAAGCGGAGGGCTAATATCGATCAACCAGACCGCCGATGGACCTACAATGGATTTGGTAGAGGATCAGGTCGATCTAGAAAGCCAAGCTAAAAAAATGGTTTGTACTGTTGGTGACTCCTCCAATCCTTCTGACAATGATACAAATTTTTCTGGACTGCGCCAGACGCCGTTACTCCCGATTTCGGTTGGAAAACGGAGTCGTGACCGTCAAACTCACCGCCAACTTCGAGAACCCCAAACAAAGCTCTCTAGGCATATCCAAAAACGCCGTCATCCCAGCGACCTATCTGATAGCAACTTGCCTACACGACGATTCCGTCCGCATGCATTGTCCTCTTCTAGCCTTGAGGCTGAAGTCACTGATTCTTCAGAGCTCCGAGACCGATTGGAAGGTAGCTGCAGTGAAGCCGAGGCAGATTTGGTTGAGAAAAAGATCTTTCTCACAGCAAGTGGACTAAACTTCCGGTCCGGTTGCGAGCTCACTAAGAGACTAGATTCACAAGCAGAGCCACTTCACGAATACTCTTGGTAAGCCAATCTCTTAGGCTACATTTAGTTTGCAAATTAACCATTTACTTTATCGAGTGCCAGTTTTATAGCCTGATTACGTTTATTCAAACTTATCTAACCTTTCATAGCACATTCGACTTCCAACATAAACGCTTAAAATGAATAAAGTAATAGACGATTTTCTTGGGCCTTTACCCTGGTCATATGAAGTTGATTTGAGGATTGAGGAGAGTGGGTGCCACAACGTTTCGATATAAAATTGGTTAACGGGATTTCCTTCACTTATCACTGATGTGTTATTACTTAGTGCTAAAGGTGATGCTTCTTAATGACGATACCGGCGAAGCATTTAGGCATGCATCAGATTAGCTGTGCCGTGCCTCAAATTATCATGAATAACTTGGCAAAGGACGCAGGATTGGGTAAATTTCATGTCTTCCTTTTTTCTTGGCCAAGTTACAAAAGCAATGTCAAACCAACGCTTTTCATCTTTAGTTTATTTTGAAAAAGTCGGCATAAGAAAACCGATCCTTTCTATACATCTAATTTCATTATTCTTAACGCTATCGGTTTATATTTCGTTAAAAATGGCTGGTACTTGAAATATGGCTTTTTACATTACTCAATTTTAAAAATATTTTAATCATCAATGCCATCGATTTGCAGATCTCGCGATATTTTCGATCTTAATTGCCTTTATTTTAGTTTGGTAATCTGTTATCAAAGGGTTCAAGATAAATCTTGTTTGTACTCAAAACGAGGAGCATATTATCGTTGTAAGTATGTTTCAAATTTATCAGTAATTAATTATAAGAATTTAGTTATCCTAGGTGCCATATACATATTCGCCTCATATACATATAGTAAACGCTTTTTGGGTGGGTCCAACTTGCTTTGGATTTGTGACTAACTGGTATCTTGCTGTTGCGGAGTGTTATCGTGTTTCCACGATGCACATCATGATTACGATACTGACTAGATCTAAGCTTGATCTAATTTACACTCCACTATGGACGATGAAACATTTTGGGGTCGTTAAAGTGAAATTCAATGGAATCATCATATACATAGCAGTATAGCAAAAAGTCCACTATCAGTCCTTAAATCATATCACGTGGACCACGGCCACTAGGTTTATATTCTACAAGCTCAATGAATTTTTACTGTTGCTTAAACCTATTAAAGATTTATAATTATTTTCTTATATTTAAGCGTTGCTGAGACTCATCGGATTAGCATGAGTATATTTAACTCAGCAAATTGTCATTAAGTGTTAGCTGACTACCTATTATAACATTTCAGTGAGACTACACACTACCCCGAAGCGCTATCAAGATCATCATTACTTCGACAATTTCCTGCTTCTCCTCTTAGTCTGACCTGTGGGAGAGACCACACCTCTGTTCATAACCAGACGCTACTTCCGGACAAATATTCATTGACCCCTACAGTACGCCCTTTCGGACCTGGCTCTCTGACCGATATTCGCGAGGGGATAGCCGCACCCGAACAGCGGATCTTAATCGAGCAAAAAGCTTTAAACATCAACCCCAGTCATGTTTTTGAGTCCGGGCCGGGACCAGAGCCCGGGCTCCTTTTGACCTCGTTATTGGCACAGACTGCCCTTCCTGGTTGCGGAAATGGCAGCAACAGTAGCATTGCTGGAGGAGGCGATCATAGCGGTGGCTGTCCTAGCGGCAGTGGCAGCAGCACAGCGCCTCCTAGTACTGGTAGTCCCCCGGCTTCTTCCACCGGTGCACCAGGAAGCAGTGGTGCTCAGTCAGTAACAGGCGATAGCCAAATCCTGGTCAGGCCACAGACCCCTGGCCCTTCCGAGTCGGCGGCGGCAGCGGCAGCCACTGCCTGTAGTGCCATACTTGCTAACGGGGCTCATCCCATCTCCAGTTATTGTGCTACTGAAATTCCTTCCACTGCTAACACGATTCCTGATCTTTCGCTGGTTGGCGAGAGCGTCGACTCCGCACCTCCACTTCTTGCACCGCCTGCATCAGTTTCTCCGAGTCCTCCCAACACACCCTGCCCTAATGTTAATATGGGACTTGTCACTCGTCCAGGGGAAAACCAAGTTCCTTCATCTCAGTCTGAGACTACATTCTCTATTGGTTCACCACCATCTAAAACTAATTGGTGTAGCCAGAGTCTGGGAAATACAGGAATGCAACAGCCATTTCATACTTCTCGTCCTAGGCCTCTATCTGATGTAAATATTTCCTCATTTATTTATCTTATTTGGTTAGTTCAACTCCCTGGCTTTTAATCGTGATCGAGTTCGAGTATCTTCATTTCTTAATAAACTCTGATTACTTAAATTAACTGAATAATAAATACGTGATTCTTGAAGCCAATTAGTAATAGTTAGCATTAACACTAAATCTAGATCTAGCAGGTTTCATATTGTGGGCCTTTTTGTTTTTTATAGGTTTGATAAATGACGAATATTGGTTTTTGGTAGAAATCTTAGTATAGCGTCGTTTAGCTGCCCTCATTTTCGTGTGAAAGTTCTTTTGATTCGTAAACTCTAGGTAGGTTTTTATGATGTCCCATATGGCAAGCAAAAGCTCATCATGCTATCACTGAATTATTACGGAGGACTTTTTGAAGAATGTTAACAAAAATGCACCAGGAATACCTACACATTTTTCGTAGCCTTTTTTGCATGAAACGACTAAGGCTCAGCTGACGATGTATAACTAAAGATTCTTGGATTATGCTTGAATTCTCTCATTTCTATATCAACTAACATTACTATTATTTTACGAGAAGACGACAAGAATTGAAGTGAGACCTTGTGCACTTAGTAGAAACATTTTATCAGTCTAGTGCCTGAAGTCTATATATAACGCAAAAGTTGTTAGGAAAATAAGACTGTCAATTTCCATTACTATATAGGCATATTGCATTATTTATTTTAACTCAATCTATCATAGTTGTATGACTAATAAAACGATTCTTATTCTCTTTATTTTTTTAATTTATTCATATTTTTACGGATGAACAAGAATGTCTCGTATAGATTATTTGCGCCATTTTTTTTCTTGATTCGATCGCTTTTCCAATTATCTTTTGTTCTGACTTCGTTGTCCACGTATAACGCTTGAATCTCCTGTCTATGATGCAATTTTTTTAGTTTTTTGGTCCTGGAATTCT